GGGGGTGTTGGGGGGTTATTTGTCCTCTCCGGGCAGCCCCGGGGGGGGATCGTGCTGCCCGGTGTTGACGCGCTGCGTTGCCAGCCTAAGCCCGTGGGTGCACTCGGCTGCCTGGGCTCACGCCAACGTAGTTTTGGGAAGGGGGGGAGGTGTGGGGGGAGTTGTGTTGTCTCCTGCATCCCAGCGGGATACCTGCTGCCTCCTACCGCAGGCTGATGGGAGGGAAAGAGGGATTCCCACTAGCTGTTAGGGAAAGCTTGCTGTCCTTTGTTGTTGTTTTTGTTGGCTTTTTTTTTTTTTTCCTACAACACCCCATTCTGCCTGTACAGCCCATCTGCCAGGGACCTCTGCCTGCACCCGTGTCCATGCACCGTGAGGATCGTAGCGCTCATTCGCCGAGATCTGTTGCATGTTTTTCTGCTCTCCTTCCATGTATTCGGGGTTATTTTCCTATATGCAAACATAAACACTGGCAGATGGTGGAGCGGGGGTATAGTCTGCTTCTCGCCTGCCAAGAGCCTATTGCCTCCTTTCACACGCGTAGGGCAAGGGTACCACTGCCTTCCAAAATCCGCTGTACTTCTTTCCACACGCAGGTGTGCTGGGGAATACCTCGGTGCTTGAACACCACAGCTTGTTAAATACATGCATCCCAGGAGGCTTCTTCCTGTCTACAAAAGGCTGCAAAGTTGTTTGTGTGTTGTTTCCCACCCCCCACCCCCCTCGTCGATAGACATGCAGATATCTTCCACCTAAGCCTAAGGGATGACTGCTCCAGCCCACCTCTTCTTTGCCCTGCGAAGCTTAATTCTGCCCAGTGATGAGTCTGTCTCCCCCTACAAACACACACCAGCGTTATCCCCCTGACCGTCCCCTGCCCTGAGCCGGTGCCCCCCGTGTTGCCTGTGTTTGCGGGAAGGGCTCCTGCAGCGTTTCACCGGTAGCCTTTGGGAGGCAGGCATTTCTCCTCCACGCTTCCAGGGAGAAGGTTTCCACTGTTTGTCCTTTCATGTCGTGCGTCTTCCCGCAGACACCCGGCAGCAGCTGTTTCAGTGCCTGCCCCCAGACCGTAGCACTTCCTTACTACACGTGCCGGAGAGGTCACCCCTTCTTACCCATGTTTTATCTCTCCTTGGCTGCGCTTCATGGCTGCCTGTTACATCTTTCATGACTGAGACTTTCAACCTGTTTTCTTCCCGTGCCCTGCTGATGCTGCAGTGTGATACGGTCAGGTTAAGCCTACCTTGGTTTTTTGCTTCCACTTTTGGGTTTTCTTTGCTGAGCAGTCCGCTGGAGTAAAAAGAAGTTGTCTGCATGCTTCCTAGCTACCTGCGGATCTCCAGCTGGAAACCGTGGGTCTAAAATACATTCAGTTTCTCTTTTCCGATCACAGACATAATTTCTCCAGCCCAACATCTATTCTGATGTTTCTAGAAGTCTCCTGCTTTCATTATTTCCCTCATGTGAGGTCCTTGGTTTGCCATGCCCACGTGGGGAATTTCTCAGGTTTCCTAGTTACACGTTTGCCTCTGCTTTCTCTCTGTTCTTCTGCCTGACACGAGACTTTTCCTTTTCCCCTTTTTTATTTCTTACTGTATTATCCTTGGGGTGTCTGGTACCCTTAGTTTTTATCCAGGTAGAGGTCACCCAGTTCACCTCCTGAGTTGATCCCTGGGTCTGGCAGCACGTTTTCATCGACGAGGTGACGTGTTGTTTACCGTGGGCTGTCTGGACGTCTTTTAGGGTATTTCGAGTGCGATGTGCTTTTCTTCTGCCATTGAGGTCTCTTACTGCAGCTTGACGTCTACATGTAATGCAGATCCAAGGTGTGATGCGCCTGGAGACCTTGCTTGGGTTTAAGTGCATCTATTTAAGGAGCTGGAGCTGAACAAGTGTTAACCTGCTAGCTTAGACACAGCTCTACTGGTATAAATGCCTCCATTGATGTAAAACTGTTTATACCAGAAACCAGTTACAATGCTCTAAGTGTCTCTCCCTAGGGACTACTTCTATTTAAACAGCTGGTTTTAATCCGAAACTTTAATTGGTGCGAACACTCCGAGCAGTCCCTTTCCAGAGGAAGGGAATTTCCAGCCCTACTTTAGTCTCCCCAGGTGGATGTTGCGTGGATGCTGGCTTGTCAGGAGGGAGGATCGCACTCGCTTTCCCACACAGGAGGTTTCGCGCTGGTTTTGTTTACAGGGTGAGAGAATTCCTCTTCTTGTGACTGTGAGGTTTGGAGTGGGGGGTGGGGGGAGTGTCCTTATGTATTTCTTCTGTAATACGTAAGAGAAGTAGTCAGCAAGTGAAACTGAATCCTTGCCATGTTTGTTGCAACAGGAGGTTAATCATAAACTCTGGCAACTTTTAAAAGGGGTGGTTTCGTTCTGCGGTGCCTGTAGCAAATGTGTGCTGCTAGGAGGGTCTGTCTGGTCAGCTGTTTGCTAAGAGGATCAAAATCAAATACAGCTTCCCCCACGTGTGAGGTTGAACAAGCGGCCGAAAGTTATTTTCAGTTGTATCTCGTGCCTTGCTTGAAGGACGCTTTTTATTTTTACGTCCTCATGAATGGATGTGTGACGCCTGCGCTGCCAGGTGAACGGTGTTCGTGTGTCACTGATGAGGAGAAGGTCTTGGGTGCTCTGCACTCTTATTGGGCGCTGTCTCTTACGTCTTGTAAACTCCTTTTTCAGTGGGCTTTGGGAACGTTTGAATATATTCCTACGAGAAGATCTGGTGATATGTGTAACTTCGCTCCATTGAGGCATTGTACTCCGCTAGCTTAAGAAGAAAAGTCAAACTATGACAAAGCAGTGATGGTTTTGCTGGCACGTGATGAGGAAGGAGATGTCCCTTGACGTAGAAGGGATCATCTGTTGACATTCTTCTATCTTGCCCTGTTGTAAGTAGGTTATCCCTGCTCAAATTATGCAACTGTGCAGACAGCCAGACTTCAGGAATTCCAAATACTTCAATGTGTCAAGTGCTGACTTCGAAATTAAATGCCATGGTTGCAGAGCGCGTTCACAGTCTGTCACTTGAAATGTGACATCAGTCTTGGAATCGTGTGTGGCTGAAAAGGGGCAGCAACTTAATCACCAGTTTCTTTGAAAAAGTGTAAGATTGCAGGAACAAAATGGGGTGGGAGATGTGCCTTTACCTGTAGTAGCCTTTTGATATGGAAGTAGGTGGTTAGCATTTCAGCAGTTGTAAGCAGAAAAAAATTACTGAAAACACTGTTTTATGTTAGTAGTTGAAATGTCTCACTCTCTGTGGCGGCTGCTGTTGCTTCAAAAGATGCAGTTTCTAGCATATAGATCTAATTAAATAGTTGTATACTTATTGCCAAGTAAACATAGGAGTCCATCACTCTTAACTTGCCTTGGAGATCAAATTGATTCTTTGAACAGTTTCACTGGATGAAAACAAATGTCTAGTTTTGCTCTGTACAAGGTGCCTAAATGAAATGGTGGTGGTAGGAAACGAACGACAAACCCGGTAAAATGGCATTCGCGCAGATGGATGGGAGGAGAGGAATTGTAATCTCTTGGCATTTTGTTCAATTCTTACGTTCCATTTAATCAAGTTAAGGAAGTGACTTAAACCGTGCATTATTTGCAGATAGCGCATTTTTAATATATTCCAATTTAGAGCTGGGGAAATAATTATTTCACATGAACAGGTTTATCAGAGTACGTGAACGATGGCATAATAAGGACTGCAAAATGTGCGTCGGGCTCAGCATGTGGTCTCTGGCAGTGGCCAGGAGGAAATCATTAGGGGGAAGGTGGAAGAGCCTACCCAGGCTGCGCAGTAATCGCTCCTCGGCGCATCCACCAGCGGCGCAGGGTTTGGAGGTGGCCCGAGCTGGGGGGTAGGTGCTGACAGCCAGGCTTCGTAGTGCCTGTTAGACCTGTCACCTGTGGATTTGACTAGGCTGTTTGAACAGTTTATACCTGTAGCTTCTACAGTACGCTGTGTGATGAGTCCCACAGTTTGTGCAAAAATAATTCCCGGGTTTGGGGTTGTGTTTTTTGGGTTTTTTTTTTGGTTTTAAACCCAGTGAATAGTAATCTCATTGAGTGCCTCCTAGCTCTTGTAGTATGAGAAAGAATAAAGAATCTTTTTCCAGTCACCACCTCATTTGCAATTTTATAGATCTGTGTGTTCTCAGATTTCTCTTTGTTGTTTTTTTGTTTTGTTTTGTTTTTTCTTTTCCAAGCTGTATTGTCCCAGTCTATTTAGCACATCTGTCTGTGGAGGCTGTTCTACATTACTGTTTTTTTTTCTTTGAGCTCTACTATATTGTTTTGAGGTGATTTGACCACAACATTTGTTTGCTTGCTTTACCTCCAAAGACTGAATGGAAGGCAGTTTTTTCAGAGCATTAAGAGATGCTTTCTAATAAAAGGACACTTTGTAGCTCATCTGTGATAACATTATAAACATTTACTGTGCGTAATGTTTTATATTCAAAAGTACAAGTGAACACAGTAATTGTAGCGAGAGCTACTTTAGTGGAAATAGTTACAGATATTGAAGAAGATCTTAGGTTGTAAATTTAGCTAGAGATGGTAGTTGATTTTCTATTTGGATATTATTATTTTCTATTTGGATATTATTATTTTCTACTTGAATATTACCAAGAGTGCTTTATGAAACAGCTGCAATGAGGGTGGGTACTTGTCAGATTAAAGTCCTTTGGAAGTTTTTGGAAGCATGAAGCTGCTATGTCCTATGGAGAACCAAGAGCCCTAGAAATCACTAGTGGGTGAAGGGTCAAGTTAGTCTCATGTTAGACACAGGTATTTACATAGTGTTGGAGCTCTGCAGGTCTGACAGTTTCTGCAGTTTTCTTTCAGTGTCATGTTTTGGTTGTTTGTTTTTGGGTTTTTTTAAGTGGATAAATAGCCCTGTTAAGAAAGATCTACTCTGAGAAGTTTCTGTGAAATGTTAGTAAAGATGCTAAAGGCTTTTAAAAAAAAAAAAAAAACCACACCCAAACTCTCCTTATCCCCAGCCTGAACCATAGATATGCTTCTGCCAGTCCAGGTTTGGCCATACAAGGGAAGCAAGATAGAAAGCCTGTAGAGTTGCTGCTCACCTGATAAGGTGATTTGTGGATAAACACAAGGATTTTTAATTTTGGGGGCCAAAAAGAACTCCTTTTAGGCATTTATCTGCATAAATGAGTCATTAGGAAAATAAAGGGTACACATAGTGCTAAAAGGGCGATGACACAACCACATTCCTGCCTTGCTCGGACTTGTTCAGGATTCTTTATAGCCGCTTCCGTTCGAAAGGTGGCTGCCTGTTTGTATGTCTGTGACACCTTGACTAGCTGGCCCCGGTCCATGCTGTCTGGACTAGCGATGCCTTTTTGCCTCTTCAGATGGTGCAGGATGTGTGACTTTGCCTTGATCTCTCCCCTTTGCTCTTTACGCAGGTTTTTCCCTGGCGTTGCTTGTCAGTGCAGGCTTCCAGCACTGCGGGCGTTAATGGGGCTAACGTGCTTCAGGGAGACTTAAGATTTGCATTGGACTTCAGAAAAATTTATTTTCATTAATGTGGATTTCATTAAGGTATAATACTTCCTTGCTAATCTGGAATAAAAGTGAGAGGAGGAAAGCTGTCATTTTTTGTAATAAACCTGAATACTTCAAACAACAAATCGGTTGACAAGTAAGCTTTGTGCTGAACTAGTAAAGACTAGCACTTAGCCAAATTTGGCTGTCACAAACCTCATGATTGTGATATGCAGTTACAGTTGTTTGTTTCTGTAAAATGAGGAGATAGGTCTGTCATTTCCAAGTGACAAAAATTAAAGCCTTGCTCAGGAGGCAGTAAGGCAGGAGGCACAGCCTTGGGGGTGATAGCAGAGAGAAGGGGTTCTTTAGCTACTGAAGTCCGGTTGCTGTTGGCAGTTCTTGGGGTCTAACGCACCCAGTTAGGCCCTGGTTTTGTCTTGGAGGAAGTGAAGAAGTAATTTCCTTTTCAAGCATGGTTTTCACTCTGCTGTCAATTAAAATGATCTCCAAAATTGACCCTTTTCTGCCTGAAAACGGGGCATGTGCCCTTTTCTCTCCTCAAAGACATGTAGTAGGATTTGGCACTATTCTGTAAAGAGGCATACACATGTGTGAGGAAGCACAGAAAGTTTTTTTTAAGGTGTTTTTTTTTTCATTTTGACTCTTGTGGATCTACTGCAGTAGTACTACCAAGAAAATCTTGAACCTTGCTAGAATATTTTGGTATGCAGATACAAAACCCATGCTATTTTTCTCGGTATTGCTTTCACGTGGTACCACCAGAAAGGGCTTGGAGATTTTTGCTTTGGTAACTAATTAGGAGGTTGGCTAAAGTAGTCTTTCTGGTGTACATTTTTCATGAGTTTATGTTGATGTGCTTGCAGAGCTTCTGAGAGTGAAGAGTGAAATGCATGGGTAGCCATGGTAAAAAAAAAAAAAAAAAGAAAAAAGAAAAAATAGCTTTCTGGAATTAGTTTAAACTAGAAGGTTGTTGACATGTGACAAATAAAAGTACTTTATGGATATTTTTTGGCAATTTGCAGTACTTAGAAGAATTTAATATTCAACTTGTTGGGGTTTTTTGGTTTTTTGTTTTTTTCTTTTTGTGTCATTCATTTGAACTGCTGTTAAAGATCAAAGACTATAAAACAGAAGCTTCACTTTTTATTACATGGGGTGGGAAATGGTCATGTACTGTTTTTTCTGCACTGAGACAATTGGGAAAAATTCAACCTGAATTTGCACGGAGCAAAAGTGTAAAGAAGGTATTAAGATCACACAAAAATTATACACAAACACTGTCATGGAAAAAGTGGTTAAATTTGAACGTGTGCCTCGGATGCAACGCATCAGTCCGTTCAGTGTCATCTGATTACGTTCTGTGGGGCTTGCCTGCGTGAGGATGTGAAGAGGACTGAATTCACTTGTTGCTTTTATTCTAGTAGAAAAACAACCCAAGCAGAGGTTAGCTTATATGTTGATGGCAGATGCATCTCCAGCATGTGCTTTCAGGACAAACCACTGTTAAACCATCAGTCTAATAGTTTTGTAGTGCTTTTTCAGAGAACTGGGTGAAAAACAGAAATTTGAAAGGCACTTATTCTGTTGTGAAATATCTCAATATGTTTTATCTAGTGAAGTTTGCACATTAATTTTTATTAAGAAAATAAATGTA